GAACACAGAATTTCAAAGGAAACATAAAACAAATAATGAAAAATATGACAGAAATATAAAAGCTTTCTAATTATACATTCCGTTATAAATGGAGAATACAATTTATGCTTCAGAGTTAATCAGTATATAATAAAAAATGAAAATATATTTATAATTTTTCAAGTTAACAAAACATAAAGAAGATAATAAAAACATAAATTTTGAGTGTATACAATAAAATAATGAATTAGATCTCATTAAAATTAAAAATTTTTGATCACTCAGAGCTCATTTAAGGAGTGACAGTAAATAATAAACAGATTTACCATGCAAGTTAGCAATTGACTTTTTGGGCAACTTTCTTAGAAAATGAAAACTTGTTGTTACCCAGAAATTCGTACATAAAAGTTCACTGAAGCATTGCTCATAAAAGGCAAACTCAGGAATTCTCTCAAATGCCCTTTAGCACATCAATAGTTAAGTGAACTATTCCATGTATGTGGCATGGCTTAGTGGCAGCAGTGAGCTATTGAAATACCCAATACAGATGAAGCTCAGTGGTGTTATGCTAAGTGAGATAAGCCAACCTCAGCACAGCACCTACTGCATGTCCATATTTCCAGTGCTGATGACTGAACCCGGGTCCTGGCTCATGCTCTGTCACTGATCTCTGCTCCACACTGTGCTTTTTTTAGTGGGCTCCAGGGTGAGGATTGAGAGAAGTTGTGTATGAATACAAAGGGAACAACCAGGGTTTCTTGCTTTGATGACACAGATGAGCGTGTTGATTAGAGTGCTGCTTACACACGGTTACATAAGAGATCACCTTGTGCAGAGTCACACACTTATTTATGAATATACTCACACAAACACAAAAATGAGATCATATGTAACTTGTGAACACTAACAGTACTCCTGTATTATACTAATCATAGTATCTTGGTTTTGACCATCGTGAAAGATGTGAATTTGAGGAAGCTTATGAGGGATTTGCTGTTCTTCCTGAAAATTTATTTGTAATTGTCTGTGAATATGCAATTATTTGAAAATGGTAAAGAGAAATCTCCTACAGTTCATTGCTTACTGACTTTCATGAAAATATATTTTGGTCTCAAGTGTTTGGGAAAAATTTAAGCCTTATGGCACCCTCTGCTGGTGGGAATGCGGACAGCACACTAATTCTTTGGAGGGCTCCCAGGGGACTTGCTGGGATTTCTTAATGTAATTTGTTATTATTAGTGGTATAAAATTTAACATATGAACACTCTTGACAGAACCTACCAACAGGAAAATAACTAGTAGAAATATAATTTTAATGCATTTTGTAAACATTTCAATACCCATTAAAAGTAGTTGCAGATGTGTAAATAGGGCTATTTCTACATTTTGAAAAATTTCCAGCTATTGAAGTTGTTTTAATTTTATACCACTGACATTAAGTTAAAAAGCAGGATTGTAGAACACTGTAGTTTACATAGTCCTGCGTGTGTGTGTGTGTGTGCGCGTGTGTGTCTGTGTGTGTGTTCGTAGCTGGGGAATGCAGGTCTTACACATGCTTTTCAAGTGCTGTATGACCGGCCCACACCCCCACCTGAACAATTTAATGTTTGAGAACCTACAGTTCCTATCGCAGAACTACAGCATACACAGGGTGTGATTTATTTTTGCATATTAATTATGATATATATTTGTTAGTGTGGCCATAAATACTTGGATTATTTTAATCATGATAAGTTAATGAGATCAAAAGTCATGATACTACAGACAGGAAATGAAGGCTGGTGAGTTTTTGTGGGTGCTGTTTCAATACAGTAAATCCTTAGCCTTCGTGTGAAAAAATGCTGGAATTATCAATTGAGAACTAGAATTCTTAATAAATCAGCAAAAGTGGTGCCATTGTATTCAAATCCAAGCAATTGAATTAAAAAACCCATTATAATAATTAAAATTGCAAAATGATGCAAGTAAATTGGCTAAATTGAACTCCAGATTTGAATAAGAAAACTAATAAGGAGAGTGGGTAAATATTACACAAGAGAACTTTTCCTTGTAAGAGCTGTGCTATATTTATTTTGAAACAGTTGCCAGCAAGAGTAGATTGGAGGCATTAACTGTGGCACCTTCACATCCTACAACACTGCAGAGAAGTGAAAATGAACTGCAGAAGAATTACACTCGGCATTTGGATACTTGTCTCAGTCAGGATGCTGAGTCCCAGAGGACAGAAACCAAGGAATACACACGAGTGTTTCTATTAGCAGTGAAGTTCAGGACCCAGCAGGACCAAACGCACAGTTGCAAATCAGGATGCCCTTAGTGGAGGGCGGGCAGCAAGAGTGGGGAGCGCAAGCCATTGCAAGGGCTCTGGGTGCTGAAGGTGACTCCATTTCCGCACCTGCGTGGGGTCACATGGAGGCTCCCTGGTGAGTACGCAGTGCGCTACACAAGCCTGGTTCCGCACTGCCTTTGTACTGAGCACGATAGAGTAACAGGAATAATAGTATCATCATAAACAATGTAATATTCCATATAAGCTTTTATAAATAACATGAGACTGTATCTACCCCTCAGCGTATGTTTGATTTTCCCTAGGAGTCTAAGAAGAATGGAAACATTCAATGTTTCTCTGCCACTATATTCAGATAAATTTCAGAAATAAAATTAGTAGTGAAATATGTGGAGTCAGATGGCGTGGTGTTTAAAATAGTGAGAAACAAATGCCACTGAGGTAAATGAGTCATTTTTAGAGTAACTCCACACAGTGGGTTCACAGCACGTCATAATCCCAGGCTGCTCCTGGAGAGCAGGGCCCAGCCATCTTCCATCCCCGGAGCCGCGAGCCCTCCCCAGGGTCAGTGTGCGCTGGTGGAGCAGGGCTCCTCTCTCCACTCACAGCTGGGTTCCTGGATTGCTTCATTCTTTAGTCTAGGCCATCTTTGGGATTTGGTCTTTCCTGGTGCTCAGAGCTCTTGTTCTCTTTCTTCTTCCCAAGTCTTTTTCCAGGTGTCTTAATTCCAGATTGTGGTGAGCCTGTAACTGCTGCCTTCACCTGCTCTGCCATGTTGGGCTGTATACAGAGCTTGAAAAAAAATCTATAATAATCAGTGTAAGCATTTGTCCTTCATTCTATTAAATAACAAATCTTCGTACTTTTTAAATTTAGAGAAAATAAAGATCTCCTTGTACTCTTAACTTCAAAAATTGTCTTAAAACTGAAAATCTGCTGTTTATGTGGTGGTGTAAACTCATTTTAACTTTCATATGAAGCCATTGCAATTGTCCTTAGGGCACCATATCTGTCGCAGAATCCTACGGGTTCCTCAGGCTCTGTCTGCAATGAGAAGAAAAATGAATGAACTAAAGTTGAAGGCTGGATGTTCTCCATTGTGAATAAGAACCTCTGCAATGTCTCCTCATATGTAGGGGTGTAAGGTAGGTGTTGCAGTGCTTTTGGAGCTGTGCAGATGGACACCGAGGCAAGGTCAGTCATTTGTCTGCTCTCTGAGCTTTAATCTGGGGTCCATCTTCACATATTCATAGTCCAGCTCTTGATGATATTTATAGAATTGTTTAGAAGCTATTTACTCAGAGAGACCAAGAGAACCCCCATTACAGCTAGGCCAGTGTTATGCATTTAGATGCTCCCCCAAGTCTTCATGCTTTTTTGGAGGTGCCTAAATCTAGAGTGTGTGAAAGATTCATGGTGGGGCTAGGCCTGGGGGCACTAGGGTTAAGGGTATGAGTGCTATTCACCTTCAGTAACTTTAGTAAGATAAAAGGACCAGAAAGATACAGTTAAGGTCCCCTTGGTGCTTTTGCTACTATGTGGGATCCATGAAATATTTCTCTCCTGCAAATCCCCTAGTCCATGTGCCCTCCTGCCTTGGAGCCAGCTGATTTGTTTGTTTGTTTGTATTTTGGTACCAGATATCAAATTTGATACCTTGAGCTTGTGAGGCAGGCAGCAGAACCACTGAGCTAAATTACTGAGCTGGCCCAGAGCCAGCTGATTATGGACTGAAATCTCTGTGTAACTTAAATAAACTTTTCCCCCTTTAACTTATAAGGTAGTGTATTTTTGTCTCTGCAAGGAGAGAAAAGTTTCTCCTGCTTTTAGAAAACTAGTGCTTTCTCTTTCTGACAGGGACTGCAAGCTGAAATGTACATGGTTTGCTAGAAAACTGAGTGTCCCTTTAAACTGAGGAAAACATGTGTTACAATAAATATACATTGTCATTACCGCTCCGGAAAACACTTCCTCATGCTAGGAACACTTGCCACTCTCTAAGGCTTTCTCACATGTCCTTTCCATTAGAATTTTAATTGTGCTTTTTTGGCTGCCTCAGTGTCCTGAATGATTTTAAAAGGCTAAACTCTCATGGTCATTTTGAGTTTGCAGAAGAGGCAGAAGTCACATAGTGCTGGATCTTATGAATTTGGTGGATGAGAACACATCATAATGCTTTATGAAGCTACTTTTTGATTAGATGGCAATCTGCAGCACATTCACCACATTTTTCATCCTATTTGCAAACAAAGGCAAGAGGACTTCTTGAACTACTTCTTCATGGGGCAAGAACGATGTATTTGAGGTGGACGGATATGAGGAGATTCCTGGAGATATATCTTTTATTACAGTGTTTTCCTTTGTACACATTATGATTTCTAACCAACCCTTGTATTATTATGAGATGACATAAAGTCTCAAAGTATTTCTGAGGTAGCATATCCTCATGGCATGGAAGCCACAGTGTGTTCCCTCATTTGGCAGCTGTGCCAGACTAAGAGGCCAGGATTTCCTGGAACAGGTCACAACCTCCCTTGCTACCCAGGAGCTGCACTTGAAATGTCTCTTTGCTCCACTCAAGTCCTCCTGGATGCAATGAGAACAGGAGTCCAATTTGAGAGCAAGGAAAGCTGCTCTGAGCTGCTTTGCATATCGCATCTAGAGAGCAGTCAGGCCTGGGCAAAGCCTCTTTAAAGGCAGCTCTAGGGCCTGTGAGGAGTGGTCTCAGGTCAGCTCTCAGAGATGGGGTCCAAGGCTCCCCTGCTGTGGATGCTGCTGCTGTTGGTTCCAGGTGAGGGTGTAGGCAGTGTGGGATACAGTTAACACTCCGCAGGGTTATAGACGCAGTGGTCTGTGTTGGATGTGTTGGTGATGGTTGGTTGTGTGCCTTTATCATTCCAGGCTCCACCGGGGACATAGTGCTGACTCAGACTGCAGCCTCCTTGACTGTGTGTCCAGGACAAAGGGCCACCATCTCCTGCAAGGCCAGCCAGAGTGTTAGTGCATATGGTATTGGTATTATGCAGTGGTATCGACAGAAAGCAGGGCAGCCTCCCAAACTTCTGATCTATGCAGCATCCAGTCGAGCCTCTGGGGTACCAGAGCGTTTCAGTGGCCGTGGGTCTGAGACAGACTTCACCCTCACCATTCACCCTGTGGAGGCCCTGGATGCTGCACACTATTTCTGTGAGCAGGGAAAAGATCTTCCTCTCACAGTGCTCTGGCTCTTAACAAAAACTCTTCAGGCAGCTGCTCACTGAGGCTCAACCTCCCAGATGCTCCCTCCCACCCAGGCAGCTGTCTTTTGTGTTTCCGGGCTTGCTTGGGGTAAAGGGTGAAACAATGCAACAGGAACTTCTTAACCTGATATGTGTTTCATTCTTTATAATTTTAGTGTTTTTTGTACTGGGGATCACACTTGGTTCCATGAGTTTGTGAGGTAGGCAGTGGAACCACTGAGCTCAATCCCTGCCCCTATAATTTTATGATATTTGTACTTAAGACCTCATCACTACATCTTAGTGTGTTTCCTAGCTTTAGTGGTCTCTTGTCCAGGGAAAATTTTTATACTTTAAAAATCTTTAATTTAATTTTGTATAAAAGAGCTTTCCACAATCAATTTTCTTGTTATTTATCTTTCAGAAATGGCTATGCTATCACCCAAATTCTAATATTTTTCACTACCCCTATTTGGCTGAGCTCACAAAAAATTCTCTTGAGCTGTTCTGGAAACCAACCAGTTATCATCTATTTATATTCACTGGTTTCATTTAGATATCTGTCTTTGTGTCTGGTCCCAAAATAAGTCGTCAGTTGCAAATGAATAACTTTTCTTCTAACCCAAAGTTCATGTCTGTTTTCTATATCATCCATGTGTATGTCTAAATTCTTTTCTATTGTCTTTCTTTTTCATTTTGCAATTGTTCTAATGATGCAGCAGGAATAGACTCCAGACCTAAGTGTTCACATCCACATTTGTGGAAGTTTCAGCTATTATCACTTCCATCCCTACCTTGTACTCTTTGGGCTCCTACATGTTCCCTAAAAGAAAACTCAGGAAAATGTTCCTTTACACATTTGACTTAGCCCATTTGCACATATCTTTACTAAACTAGTAGAGAAATGCAAAAAAACCAACACTCATTTGTCAAAGAGAAGAAGAGAATGGATAAACTTCTACAATTGACATAGAGTGAAAGAAGATACAAACTGTAAGTGTCAAGAACAGAAGTAAACACCTGCTTTGGGGGTTCTACTGACGTTAAAGGACAATCAGGAAATTCCATGAACTGGATGGCAATACAATGACCACCACAGCTGTCAAAGAAATGTTCTCTGAAAGATAGAAACTACCCATACTTACTAATGATAGACAGCTGGAGTTATCTTTTATTTATTGAAGGGATTCAATTCATAATGAGAAATCTTGAGGAAGCAAAAATGAAAAGCACACTTCACAAATGCTATTTCTTTTAAGAGCATTTGAACTTCCTCTCCTCAAGCAGAAAATTCCTGTCTTTCTGTTGAACGGCACCCAGTAGAGGGAATCACCTCACGTTTTAAAAATCACATTGCGTGGTCACTTGTGGGAACATTTGAATTTTCTCATCCAAAACAACCTTTCCTCTCTTACGAAGTTCCCAGTTAAGTTTGGCAGAATACTTGGTTCTGAAGAAATTTATTCCATGCCTTTATTAAATTGAGGACAGAAGTTTCATCCTTTAGAGACCATCTCCTTGGATTCAGTGGTCTTGGTTATCTGGAAGGATGTCCATTAGCTAGTCAAACTCACAAAGTCATAATATTGGAATACCCTGCTGCAATTTTAGTAATAAGGCAATAATTGTACAAAGTCAATGGGGATTGGTATACATCATACTTTTTTCTTTAATATGTTTTAGGACATTGCAAGAAGAGTAGAAATATAGGAAAAATCAGAGTTTTAGTGCTGAATATATTTGATTGAGCCTTTTTATGGTTTGAATGTACTATGTTTCCCAAAATGAAGGTAGTATGGAAGGCTTGTCCCCAATACAGCAGTGTTTATAGGTGGAGATTTTGAGAAGTGATCGGATTATGAGAGTGTGAGCCTCAGCAATGGATTAATTCACTGGAGAGATCTTACAGAATGACTATTAGGAGAAGGATTTGGTATAGAGTGTGAAGTTATGGCTTTGGTGACCGTGTCTTTTCCTGATCCATCCATTTTTTCCTCTTTACCTCTGCTTCTACTTCTGGCGCCCATGAGGTGGTTGCTTGGTTTTGCCATGCCTTTCTGCCAAGATGCTTCTGCCTCAGTACAGGACCAGAAACAACAGCCTGACTGATAACACTTGAAAATGTGAGCCAAAGTAGCATATTCTGCTCTAAGTTGTTTTTCTCATTTTTTTACCCTGAAACTCCAAGTATAGGAAATATTGAAGGAGCATTATTTTGAGATGTTTTCTTTTTAGCAAGGGAAAACTATGAAATTTGGACAATAAATGTTGCATATCATAAACTCTGGGAGCAAGTTCACGCTCATAATGTCATCATTTCAAAAACTTTTAAACCTTAAAATTCTAGACTTGAAGCATTTAAAACTAAAATGTTCACTTAGCTACAATCTTGGAATAACTTATGAAAGAGTAGAGAAGATTGGATTAATTTGAACACACACACACTTTGCAAAAGCAATAATAGCAAATTTGATAATAGCAATGACCAAAATTTATTTACTGTTGCATTTTCATATGCCTTTCACAATCAGTTTCTCATCGTGTATTATGATAATGGAAACCGCATCCCTTACAGAGGAACACAGTATTTCGAGTGAAAAATTTTAGAACCCATTTGAAAACAAATGTGATTAATCAGATCCTCTGTTATCTATACAACAGGAGTCACCTGAAGCAGCCTTGACACCACTGACATCTGAGCAGAGACAGTGTCCCCTCCAGGGGCCTGTAGACACAGGCCCTGTAGCCTCACTTGAGGGCTTCCTACTCCTTGCCTCATT